GTATACTTGTTTCGTCTATCTCCTTTCATTCATCCTCTCTATATGTCCAAACCATCTCAACATACCTTTCTCAATCCTCGACACTACATCTTCTTTCACTCCACAACGTTCCCTAAAATTAACTTAATAAACTTTACTTAAAGTTTTAAAGTCAACTTTGCACTGTACGTGCGCGCCCGCACGTGGTATTTTGTGGAAGAGCCACACTCAAGGGGCCAAAGAGCCGCATGTGACTCACGAGCCGCGGTTTGCCGACCACTGCCCTAGACCCTGGCTCCCACCTAATCTTCTTTCAACTGTGTCCGAGACTCCGTTGTGTTTCACTATCTCAGAAAAAAGAAAGCCATCTCAGAATGTTGTTTCGTTCCAGCCCACCCTCTACTTTAGTCACTCATTCCTAACTCCATCATTGTTCGCCTACTATGCGCCAGGCACACGGGTCCTGGTGCTTGTGACACAATAGTGACCAAGCAGACAAGGACCCTGTCCTGTGGGTCCCTTCTGTCATGTGGTGGCTGGAAGAGCAGGGAAAGGAAGGAAAGATGACTGAAGTGTAGAGGAGGAAGCAGGGAAGTGAGCTCTGACCTTTTCTCCTTGCATCTTGTCTATTTTATATGTTTCCTTGTTCTTTTATATATTTTAAATATATTTCAAATACCATAAACTTCACCCATTTAAAGTATACAGCTTAGTGGTGTTTAGTTATGTTCACAAAGTTGTGCATCTATCTCCACAATCTAACTTTAGAACACTTTCAGCACCCCAAAAAGAAGCCCCGTATCATTAGGAATCACTCCCACTGCCTGAGCAATGATTAATCTCCTCTCTGTTTCCAAGAATTTGCCTATTCTGGCTACTTCACAGAAATGGAGTCATACAATACATGCCCTCTTGTAGCTGGCTTTTCTCACTTAGCATCATGTTTTTGAGATTCATTATGCTGTAGCACATATCAGTACCTGATTATTTTTTGTTGCTGAATAATGTTCCACTGTAATCTATTCTTTTTCTTTCCATCACCTCAAAGTTTATATCAAATGGCACACACATTCTCTGGAAGGATTGTGTTACGAAATATGAGGTCTGGAGGGAGGTAAATCCTGTGCGCACCCCCTCACCACACATACCTGACCAGATCCATCCCCAGCAAGGCTTCCGTCTCCGCGGCCGGTTCCCTGGCATTGACCGCTTCGTTGGCTATGCACACTCCATGTTCATTGGCCCCCATTTCTGCCCCCCAAAGCCAGGCAGGTCTGCTGATCACAATGGCATGGGTCTTGGGAACTTGGTCGACGGAAATGTAAGTACACTGGAACATGAAGACAGGAAAGAAAGGGCCATCAGCTGTCAGGTACCACTAGTTTTCACCTTGGCACTTACACTGAACCACCACATCGGCTACAGACAGATCAAATGAATAAATAAGTAAAGACAAGGCCTTGAGAATACTGGACTTCAAAGACACCCCAAGTCTCAGTGCAGCTCACAGGTCTCCATGGTGACTGTTGTCTTGCCAGCCACTTGGTTTTCAGCCTCTTTGTTTCCAGACAGTCCTTCCATGAGGCTCATATCTATGGCGGTCATCTTCTTGAACCAGGGGCCAGCCACTCTGAATATTCCGTGGCTGATCATTTCAACAGACACAGATGAGTCGCAGCATTTCAAACAAATGGTTACTTATTCTTATTTGCAAAGATCCTTCTCTATCAGAGGTTTCAAATATTGTTAACAGTAGAGAGCCCTGTGTGTAAAAGATACTGTACCTGGAAGCCTGACATAGAAAACAGACAAAAGGGAAGAGGCTTCGTCTGAAGAAGGGAGGTCCCTAAGCCTCCTGCAATGACCCCTCGGGTTCCCTGGAACACCGTTTGACAACCTACACGATTGCTCCAATAGTAGGAAAGAGAAAATGACAATACCTTACATTTCACTAGTGCATTCAACGCACACTCTCTTATACACTGTGCTTCCCTGTCTGTGCTGCCTGTGAGGTGGACACATAGGAAACAGTTCCAAAGAGGTGGATTTCTAACTGCTGTTGAACTGCAGTGCATGCACGGGGAGTGGCGCGTCTTACCTTCTCCAGGGTGCTGGAAAACGAATGAGCCCATCTAAATCTAACTATTTCTTTCAAAGTGTCTTCGTCCTCAGAACCCTTCCTTCACATAAACTCTTACGTGAAGACAATAAAAATGCTCAAAGTGTATTGAGAGGCAAATGGAAAAATAGGCGTGGGACTGGGGTTGGTAACTCTGAGCCTTACCTGCTGGTTCCTCCTCTTCCCTCCCCACTTTGGGCCCCACGGGAGAGCTCGGCTGGATAACTAACCCAGGTTATCCAGAGGGGCCTCTACCCGGACGGTCTAGCCGTCTAGGACACACTCTGTGTGGTGGATGCAGTGTTGAAATCATGGCTCTAAATTACACAGAGCACTTTAGCTCTCCAGGGAGAATTTTATCAAGGACAGCAGCCATTTACATTTTAAAGGAGGACGCTGAAAGCATTGGATCAACTGCAGCCTAAGATCTTTTTTTTTTCCGACTGAAGACCCAATTTTATCGGCTGAATGCCGCCCAGTCTTCTGCATTGATTTCCCATAATCTCTAAACCACAGGTAGCAGAAATGCACACTCGTTGGCCACGTGACATCTGTATCTCCGCCATCCATGGTTAGATATTGCTGTGCCCTGGGATAATGTTATTTCACTTGACAAATATTTGTAAACTGAAAGCTAATGAAATCTGGAGGTTGTCAAGACAACCTGGAGTTTTTCATGGCAAATGAATACTAAAGTATACCCTTGAAATGTTTTCTCTTATTTGGTTGCCAAACGTCATTTACTTTACAAAAAATGATTCTTTTAGAGCAAAACCTGGCCAACGCAGTAAATCATTAAACTATTCTACTCTGTGCTTTTCTGCATGTAAATGAAGTTTACATCTTAAAATTGCACGCTTTTATGTAAAAAATAGTTCAGGCGTTGACCAACACTTTCCCAAACCCCTGTGCATGCTGAGCTCCTGTGACAATTCTGTCTTGAAACAATAAGGAAGCAGGAAGGGATCTCAGGCTCTTAAGCACAGATATCATAATTTTTTACAGGCAGAAAAAAGGGGAAAATAAGAAGTGGGTTTACTTATTGGCCCTCAAGTGCATTTTTACACATTCATTCCCATTTCCCCAGTTATTTCTAGCGCACCAACCACACACAAGGCGCTGTGTGCTAAGTGCTGCTGGCAGATCAATCAATGAGCTGTCCAGTCCCCATCCTTCTGGTTGGGAAAGAAGAAGAAGGCACAACTGCTCATTACTAGGACCCCAGGCCCGCCTCTGGGAGTATCACTGAGGCCTGTCTATTAATATGTGCTGCTTCTTGCCCCCACCTCCTCCTAGAACCTCTGGTCAATGCAATCCTGCTCTGCTTTTTCTTTTTCACACTCCATTCCATTTATCCCCTTTTAACTGACTTATGTACTGCATGTGCGGCTGATGTCTGCTACCTCCACCAGGGCAGGGAGGTGTCTGTTGTTCAATTCACTGCTATATCCCAAGTCTGGTACAAATTAGGCATCAATAAACCTTTCTTTGAATGGATGAGTGAGTGGGTGAATGAATGAATGAGTAACAAAAGTCAGAGGGAGCATAAATAGAGATTGGAAGGAAAGAGGGAACACACCCTAGTGGTCAGCAGCTTTATCAAGTAGGTGACATTTGCGTTGATCTTGAAAAATGAACCAGACGTCAAGGTATTCCAGACAGAGGTCAGAGCCTGAGAAGAGGCAGATGGGGATGTCAAAGGTGTGCTCACCGTCAGGGAAGGCCCCTCCTGTACCACTCAGGAGAACCACTGTGACATCACTGAGTCACAGGACTGCAAGAGCTCAGAAAGTGATGCCTGAGAAAAATGTTGACAGTTGAATCAGAAAGACCATATGGTCTTTGTGGGAGTTCAGAATATATGCAGCCAACTTTTCAGGCCAAACTCAGAATGAGGAGGAAGGAAGGAGATCCCCAAGCAGCCAGATGGGCAAGTCAGTCTCTCCTAAGCAGTGGGTGGAAAGCTGACACCCCAGGTGCCCCTCATATGCGACAGAGCAGGGGGCAGGGAGATGGGGTGTGGCCCTACCCAAGCCTTGGCCAGCCTGGAACACCTGCCCCTCAGGGCATCTTTGTCAGGAACCACAGAAGCCTGGGCCTAACATGGGCCCTTCGGTGGCTGCAGTTCACACACACGCTATTGTGTTTGCAACCTGACTAATCACATCCAGGTCTGGGAGGGGATGGGAGGACAGACCCGCTGGGCTCATATAGACGGGTTATTTAAACTCCCACTTCAGGAGCAAGCCTCGAAACAAGGAACATTTGCACAAGGTGTAATCAGCTGAACTTTGTAAAGCCAGCTGCCTAGAACATGAACACCGCAGGCAGTCGTTTTTCAAACGGCCTTCACGTTTGCCACGTTATTAACGAGGCAGAGAGTAAGTGGGGTGTGAGGGAGCAGAGGTCTCACCAGGAAAAAAAATCCAAAAAAGCACCTGAAATCGTTCCGTGTGCCAAAAACATTTTGGTTCCCCCAGTCAAAACTCCTAGGCAAATGTCTATTAGAAAAGAAAAAGAAAACATTCACCGCTTAAAAGATCAATCTTTACAGGGATGTTGCTGGCATCTGCTTCGGTTACTAAGCTGTGAAAGTGGTGAGCAAATTGTCTTGCTGCCCCACATCCACTCCTAACCAGCCTTTAATGAATCAGATCTGTGGACTAGTGTGACTTCTGGGGGCCAAGGCTACACAACAATAGGAGAGTGCCCAGAGTGGGGGGCGTGGGGGCAGCCTTCTAAACGTCAGAACTGCCCGATCAGAGGTTTTAAAGGTATTACCTGAATTGAGCTTGCCACTCTCTCCAGTGGCTCCTGGGGACACATGCCGGGTCAGAGGATAAAAAGATGAGCCTTGACAAGGCCCTAGAGACAAGGACAAAAGACAATTCTTCTGCAGAGCAAGTCCTCTATTGTGTGTGATTGTCTCAAAAATGAAAAAGCAAGATCAGCTTTATGCTGTCGCCTGCCCCTTGCACATTCCAACACATACTATTTCTGGATCTCACCCCGTGGAAGGAGGGCCAGAGACACACACAATGGACGCTTCACTTCGTGAAACACGGCCATTGTGCCTCTCCTCCGGGGCTCAGTGGGGGAGCGCCGCCCTGGCACCATCGGCGAAAGCCAATGAAATGAGTTGATGAGTCAGCCAGACTTCTTAGGGTAGGAGAAGGAAAGGCAGGGAAATGGGATGCTTCAGAGAAATATTTTTAGTTTTGGAAAATTTGCAACTCTAAAGCAGCCTTGCTAATTATCACTGAGAGTTTTTGCTTAGTTCGTTGGTGTGGGTTTCATTTATTTACTAGAGGCCCGGTGCAGGAATTCATGCACAGGTGGGGTCCAGCCGGCCTGGCCTGATAAGGAATGATCAGGCTGGGCCGGCTGTGGGGAAGGGCCGTGGGCCATTGGCCAGCCGCCCCCGCTCCCTGTTCGAATTCCTGGTTGAACTCCCAGTTGAACTTCCTGTCGAAGGGACAATTTGCATATTAGCCTTTTATTATATAGGATTTTTTATGTGTGTTGTGTTTTTTTAATCCCAGTGTCTTGTCTGCTACTTGACTGGTTTTGAAAATATGCCCTTAAGGTTCAGATGAGTCTAAATAAAGACAAACAAAGATGCCCACCACATTTTATTTCCCTAAAGCTGTAAGATGATTGAGGACAGGCAGTGCGAGGCCTGGGGTCAGAAGCAGGCTTGGGAGAGGGGATATGATAGAAGGACGACCCCTGCTAAGCCACACTCCCCTGGGGCGAGGGAGATGCTTCCGCCTCCACACAAGACTGGGAACTCCTGCCCCTGGGAATGAAGAGAAGAAAACAAAACAAACAGACAGACAGAAGTGGTGCACTCTCTACCCAGCAGCCACAGAGCTTTCTCAGCTCTCTTTGATTCCAGAATGACCTGAGCTTCCTACTGTGAGAGATAATCTTCAGAATTAAAACTCAGATCTCACACACACACACACACACACACACACAAACACCATAATCCAGGAAATTACTCCTCTGCTTCCTCACCACCACC